GGCATGTGATAGCCTACGCTTCGAGGCAGCTGAAGCCTCACGAGGTGAGGTACCCCACTCATAATTTGGAGTTAGGGGCGGTAGTTTTCTCCCTCAAGATTTGGCATGAAATACCTTATGGATCAGCCTAATTTGAATATGAGGTAGAGGAGGTGGTTGGACGTAGTGAAGGACTCGATTGTGAGATCTTGTATTATCCAGGCAAGGCTAATGTGGTGGCCGATGCCTTGAGCCGGAGGGCAGCAAGTACCCCGATGTGGGATGTGTGCATGAGGATGAACGTGATGACTCCAGTCTTAGAGATTATGAAGGAAGCGCAAACGGAGGCCATAAAGGAGGAAGCCGGGAAGAGTGAGCGGGTGATCAGTCATATTTCGACATTTGATATGGACAGTAAAGGGCCTTTGACTCTTCATCGGCGAGTATGGGTGCCGTATGCGGGTGGGGCCCGATGGATTTTGATGGAGGAGGTCCATAAATCGAGATTTTCTATCCACCCGGGGGCTACAAAGATGTATCTTGATTTGAAGCACAATTATTGGTGGCCATGTATGAAAAGGGATGTGGCATGGTTTGTGGAGCGATGTTTGACCTGCCGGAAGGTCAAGGCGGAGCACCAGCGCCCTCATGGCAAGTTGCAGCCTCTGGAGGTTCCCCTATGGAAGTAGGAGCAAATTACTATGGATTTCATTACGAAGCTACCGAGGACTGCGAGGGGTGTTGACACCATCTGGGTGATAGTGGATCGTTTGATGAAGAGTTCTCGCTTCTTAGCCATTAGTGAGAACTATTCCGTAGAGAAGTTGGACCAAATTTATGTTTGTGAGGTGGTGGCTCGGCATGGAGTGCCGACGTCCATTGCGTCTGACCGGGATGTGCGTTTCACTTCTAGATTCTAGAAGATATTTCATGAAGATTTGGGTACCCGGTTACACTTAAGTACCGCGTACCATCCACAGACGGACGGGCAGAGCGAGCGGACGATTCAGACGCTTGAGGATATGCTACGCGCCTGCGTTATTGATTTCAGTAAGAGTTTGGGACTCCTATCTTCCTTTGGCTAAGTTCTCTTATAATAACAGCCATCATGCCAGTATTGGTAAGCCCCCGTTCGAGATCCTTTATGGTCGGAGATGTCGAATTCTATTTGTTGCGGAGAAGTGGGGCAAAGGGTCATGGGGAGCACGAAAGTCGTGCTCAAGACGACTGAGCTTAATCAGCAGGTACATCAAAGGATTTTGACAATGCAGAGTTGCCAAAAGAGTTATGCGGATCGGCGACGCTCTGAGTTGGAGTTTCAGTGGGGGATTTTGTGCTCCTGAAGGTGTCACCCTGGAACGGTGTTATCTGCTTCAGAAAGCGGGGCAAGCTGGGCCCTAGATTCATTGGCCCTTTTTGAGTGTTGGCCAGTGTGGGCAAGGTGGCTTACCGTTTGGAGCTACTGGAGGAGCTGAGTCAGATCCATGATACCTTCCATGTATCCCAACTAAGGAATTGTATAGCCGATGAGGCGGCTGTGGTTCCCTTGGAGGACATTCTGGTCGATGATCGCTTGAATTATGTGGAAAAGCATGTAGCCATTTTGGATCAGAAAATGAAAGCCTTGATGTCACACCCCCAAACCGGAACGACGGAAACGTTCGGGGGCGGAGGACGTCATGTTTAGTATCATAAGACATGCATCCTAGTAATCAAAAGTCATAAACAAACCATTTCATTAGAAAGCAAAGTGTTTACAAAGTATGTGGTTCACTTAACATAGACTACAAAAGTAAGTAACAAAAACGACATGAGCTATAATGCTCCATCTTCTTAATCCAGTGCGGGACCTGTCTACTGGTCTCCTGCGGGAATACAATTTATTTTGAAAGAGTAGATTAGCATTTAAGCTGGTGATTTCATAAGATTTTAGTGATGAAGAAGTTGAAAGTTCTTTTAGAAAAGTTTCGCCTGTTCCTCCAGAAAATCCTATATTTCCTGCTTTGATGAAAGATAAGTAAAAATGACTCTACAATCCTTCTATGAGTACTAAATGGATACAAGTTCTATAAAACCCAGAGTAAACAACAATCGCTGTGTGTATCTGCCCTAAGCCCACAACCAAAACAAGGAACAGGGAATGAGGGCAGAAGCCACACAGCCCATTGGTTGTTTAGATCATCTTTGTATATAACCCTGCGTATTCACTTGGTACTCACGAGTTAACTGTAATAGTTCCTTTATATTTGATGAAAACATCTTTTAAGAAAACCCTTATTTCTTTAGTAGTAAAAATGGTAACCAACTAGTTCCTTCTATAATCACTAGTTTATACTAGCTAATTAATCTAATATCGAACATATAGTTAATTGTGTGAATCGACCCTAAGCCCACAACCAAACAAGAAACATGAAATGAGGCGGAAAGCACACATCCAACTACTTATCGGATATTAATTATATATAACCCTGATGTATAAACCAAGGTATTATAGAATTAACCACTAAAGGTCCTTTAGTCGTTTAATAAATGGATTAGTTAACCCTTTACGGTAAGTTTTCTAGTTTTCTCTACCAATTTTCTATTTGAAAAAGTATGTTTTGTACTAGAAAACAGTGTATTGAATTTGTATACTATGACCTGGCCCATACCTGGTACTCCTTATGATTACTTGGTGTATACGGAATATATATATAGCTAAGATCGGGTAGATAGTGTAACAACGTAAATTTCCAAAACAATTTTTCATTTTTAAAACATAGTTTTATTCATAAGTTAATATCAAAACATAATGTATCCAATATTATCATAACAAAACATATCCCAGAATCTCAATACATAAACTCCATGAGTGTGTACGGATCATGCAGGCCCCTTCCCGGGATCCTCGCTAGTACCTGAAACACATAACACAACAACTGTAAGCATCGGTCTGCATACCCTCTTCGATCTCAAAACTCTGAGAATCTCTCTCAGATGCTCCTTATGCTGCTCTCTAGATATCGAATACACTAGAATATCCTCGATGAATACAATTACCGACCTGTCCAACATCGGTCTGCATACCCTGTTCATGAGATCCATGAACGCTGCTGGTGCATTGCTGAGCCCAAAGGCTCACCACAAACTCGTAGTGCCCATAACGAGTCCTAAACGCCGTCTTCTGGATATCCTCATCTCGCACCCTCATCTGGTGATATCCAGACCTCAAATCTATCTTGGAGAACAGAGATGCTCCCTGAAACTGATCGAACAGATCATTAATCCTCGGTAGTGGATAACGGTTCTTGACCGTCAACTTGTTCAACTCCCGGTAATCAATGCACATCCGGTGTGAACCATCCTTTTTCTTGACAAAAAGGATTGGCGCTCCCCAAGGTAAGCTACTCGGTCTGATAAATCCTTTCCCCAACAGCTCCTGAAGCTGTGAGGATAACTCCTGCATCTCTGGTGGCGCAAGGCGATAGGGCGCCTTGGCGATAGGCGCCGCTCCCGGAACCAAATCGATGCGAACAACTCACTTGCCTCTCGGGAGGCACACCCGACAACTCCTCGGGGAAAAAAATCCGGGAACTCACGCACTATCGGCACATCACTAACCGAACCCGGCCCCTCTGCGGGCACCCGTGAATCCCATCACATAAGCCAAACAAACCACACTACCCCCTGCTGTAGGCTCCGCCTCGCTCTAGCAGTCGAACAAAAATGCTGAACCAGAAGGGTACCCTCCCCGTACACTTGTAAGTAATCCCCCAACTAGGGTCTCGTATCGTCACCCAACTGTCGCTCGCAGTCTATAACAGCCCCAAATCGGCTCAACCAATCCATGCCCACTATGACCACACACGTCCCCCATCGCAATCGGGACTAGATCTATCGGGAAATCAACACCGAAGATCTCGAGTACACATCCTCGAATCACATCCGTAGCAAACACTGCTCGCTCGTCAGCTATAGAAACTCGTAGAGGTCGACTCAGCGCCTCCCGCTGGATACTGATGTGCTGACTAAACGCTAACGACACAAATGACCGACTCGCACCCGAGTCAATAACACAAAGCAGGTACAGAACTCACAAGAAAAGTACCTACCATATCTAATATAAGCACCATATCTCAAACTCAGCATAAATAAATGAAAGAAAATACCAGCCACGACATCGGGCGCTGCCACGGACCTCCTCGCTGTCAACTGGAAGGCTCTCCCGCGAGCCTTCGGTGCCTCGGCCTTCATCGGCCGAACCTCAGTAGCTCGCACGGCAGCAGGGGCAGATCCCTGCGGTGCTCCCTGTGCTGTCCCCCATTCATTTATGTTTGTTTATTTATTTATTTATGTTCATTCGTTTATATTCATTTAACATCTTAACGAACAAAGTATTTTTTTTAAACAAACAATAAATTGTGTATGTGTTCATTTGTTTGTTTCGTTAAACTTAATAAAACAAACAAACATGAACAAACTCTTTTCTTATTCGTTTGGTTGTTTGCATCCATACATACATCCGAATATTCTCACACCTAAACCATGAATTACAATCATACTTTGGTTCACTTCTTCAACAACCGGCTCCCTCTCCGTCAATACTTCGAGCTATTGGTTCATTTTTATCATCTTGATCTTAATTAATTGGTTTTCTTATCATCTTAATCTTAATCATCAACGACGGATGAACCTAATTCCAAAAATTATGGGAGTCTTTTTCTTAGACGAAAACATGTATTTACTTTGAACTATTCTTGGGTCGAAGTTATTATTAGACCTATCTAGGCCCAATTTAAACCGGGTTATTGATTTTAGTCCCAGCCTCGGGCCTAAGTGCCTAACCATGACCGATTTTTCCAAAGCCCGAGATAGCTTATCGGAATGAAACCGAAAAAGAAATTCAGGGACTAAAGTTGCAAATTAAGAAAACATATAGGGACTAAATTTGCACTTCACTCCATCCATTTCCTTTGTCGCCACCTTCATAAATCATCCTCTCAAGTCTCAGAGTCTCAGCCATACAACTCCGCCGCACGCAAATGAACGACGCCCGCAAAATTTCTCTAAAAGATAAGATCAAACAATCTCTCTGCTTCTCATGTTGTTTCACCGGCCACCGCGTTGAAACCCTACGCTCCGAATCATCCTCCACCTCACCCGGCGACAACAGCAACACGCAGCGTCCTCTGTATCTCATCGGTGCATCATCGCAATGGATTAAATCCCGTGCTTCCGTTGATCTACCAGAGATTAAAGATAAGTGCCGGAACATATTCGGTCGAATCGGATGCAGTAACGCCAGACAAAATCACCGCCGTCGTCGCTCCTCAACTGATTTCAGGTACGATCCTCTCAGTTACGCGCTCAATTTCGAAGAGGATTCTTATGCGAACCTTGAGGATGATGCTCCCCTCAAGGATTTCTCGATGAGGTTGCCGTTGTCGCCTCCGCAGTCCTCTACCGCGGATCATCAGCCGAAGCTACACCTAGCCGCCAGCTCGTGATTCTACCACATCGTTTTAGTAAACTATAGATTTATACATCGGGAATTGTATATGAAATCGGATTTCTAGGGTTTCAGCTTTCAAGTGTCGTTTCTGCTATGAACTTCAGTTACATTTGAATTTTTATATTATTAAATCAATTTTTTTTTTCGTTTCTTGTTTATATTGCATTTTCTTTTTCATTAATTATACAAATTTAGGACGAAATTCAAAACGAAATTTCGATATCAAAAGCTTATTCTGAATGATGCTATGAACTGTATCATGCAGATGTTAATTTGAATTTAATCATAATATAAACTAATAACAATATATATATATATATATATATATATATATATATATATATATATATATATATATGTGTGTGTGTTGTTATTTGAAATTGTAAACATCAAATAGCTAAATGTTTGTTAAAATTTAATTACATCGCGAACTGGCAAATAAATTAAATTATGTAAAGAAATCATATATAATTGGGTTTATGTCAAAAAAAAAAAAAAAAACAACAAATTATTTAGAATATTCAAAGAATAACCACAAATTGATTTTTTTTAATCAAAAGGTACACTATAACTAATTTTATTCAACAAAAATAAAATACCAACATAACCTCATATAGCGAGTTAAACACGTAAATTAAAATATGAGAAATTAACCACAAATCACTTACAATTTATAAGTGATCAACCAATTGTTCAAAAATAACCACAACCACTTCAACAACCATTCATCGCCTATCACTGTTCTTCTTGTTCATTTGTTTTCTTCAATGTAAGATTCAATTGTCCATTTCATCTGTTTCTCACTCTTTCTTAACCCAAATCTTTAACATGGTTGGAGGAGACGAAAAATAAAATCAACATAAATTGTTGGTGGGAGATATCATCCTTGTACAACAAAAACATTGATGGAAGACAAAGAACATGTCCATGCATGTTCACCCAGAACAAGAACATGTACATCAAGTAGAAGAGTAGAAGACAAAAGGGATTTCGTCTTATTAGGTTTGATATTAAACCAAGTTCACCCAAGTTGGTGAAGAAGACAATGAACATCTCCACCCAAGTTAACATTCGAATTTTTTATCTGAAATAATAATTTACGATTTTGGTAGTTGTTAAACGTTATGTATGGTAGTTGTCAACTTGTCATGACCCGTAATGGTGGTAAATTGTGTTTAAAATGGTGTTTTCTTAATAATATAAATAGTTTGTTATTCGTTTATAAATTGGGAGCTGATCCACTTAATAAAAATATATTTTTTCCTTTTGTGGGATCAATAACCCTCGTTGCCTCTTATTTTAATTTTGCTATTCTTGTTTCTAATTTTGAATTTTATGCATTTTATTTGGAAACCGATGGTTTCCGACCTTAATTTATTTTATTTTTACTTTGATTTTTATTGTTTGTATTAGTTTAATTCTAATTTTATTAGACGATGCGGTATGGGCCAAAACGAGAAGCAACCGGGTGAGGTGGCACGACTTAACGGCGTCGTGACGGGGGGAACACCGCCCCCTACTCGTTTTTGCTCGTCGAGATTGAAGCTCGTTGGCGTCGGGACTGGATGAAACGCACAAAATTTAAACGTTTTCAAACGTTTAAATGGCAACGGTATAAAAAAAATTAACTATAAAAAAAAATCATTTACCCTATAAATACCTACCATTTTATAAAAAATTTCACACAATTTCTCTTCTCCTCTCTACATACTTTCAATTATCTTCAAAAAAAATATGGACCCTTTCGACTCGTCCGATGATTCAGATGACGATATTTTATTCAGGATGATGTATCATTATTACACTACCGACCTCCTACAACCAGACCCAGCTCCGCTACTAACAAGACGTGAGATGTTAAACAGAAATCGTGAGGAAGGACACGAACATCTATATCGTGATTACTTTGCGGATAATTGTTGTACGGGTCGAAGGACTTCAAAAAAAAATTTCGTTTGAGTAGGATTATGTTCCTACGGATCGCCAACGCCTTGGAAAGCCGATATCCCTTCTTTACTATATTTTTATACAAAATAATTAAAAATCTAGTACATGTTTCTTTAATTTTACAACATATGCAATATATTTTTAAACTGTAGTTAATTTATGTTTAGGTATGAATTTTTTCAATTAAGATATGATGCTAGAGGTAGACGAGGGTTTACAACGTTGCAGAAATGTGCTGCGACCATTCATTTGATGGCTATGAGGGAGTCACCCGACACCATGGACGACTATATAAGAATGTCCGAAAGAACCGCAAGGGAGAATTTGTATACATTGTCAAGGGGTGTTGTTGAAACATTTGGAGATGAGTATTTGCGGAAACCTTCGTTGCATGATTTGCAAGAATTGTATGCGACGTATGAAGAACACCATGGGTTTCCCGGAATGATCAGAAGCATTGATTGCACACACTGGAAATGGAAAAATTGTCTGGTAGCATGGAAAGGGCAATACGCAAGTGGTCATCACGGATCACCTTCGTTGGTTTTAGAGGCTGTTGCTTATCAAGATTTATGGATTTGGCATGCATTTTTTGGGGTTGCGGGTTCCAACAACGACGTCAATGTTCTTGATCAGTCGCCAATATTCGACGATCTTTTGAATGGAAAGGCCCCGGATGCTCCTTTCACGGTGAATGGAAACGAATACAAATATGGATATTACCTTACATATGGAATATATCCTCAGTATTCTACATTCGTGAAGGCATTCCGCCACCCGGATGAAGAATGAGACAATTTTTTTAAGAGAATACAAGAAGGAGCACGTAAGGATGTGGAACGTGCTTTTGGAGTGTTGAAGGCGAAGTGACATATAGTTGAACATGTAGCACGACCATTGGATTTAGAAACTCTACGATATATCATGTATGCATGTATCATAATGCATAACATGGTAGTAGAAGATAAATGACGAAATATAGCACACTATATCCCAACGGAGCCCAGACACGTTCAGTTTCAACCAGGAACAGCAGAGTATTTGCATCGAGTTGTTGACATTCAGGACGCAAATAAACACAGACAACTTCGAGAGGACTTGGCGGATTATATCTTCTATGGTAACAATAACGATAACGAATAGCGTTGTATTTTTTTATTATTTTTTTTTTGGAATTTGGATGTTGTGTGTAGTTTAATTTCTATGTTAATTTTAATCTTTAAAAATTGTTTTTATTGTATGTTATTTATAATTTTGAAACATTATGTTTTATTTATTATGTTATATTTAAAAAATATTTGTCTAAATTAAAAAAAATTCAAAAAATAAAAAATAAAAAATAAATTATAAAATGGAAAAAAGTTGGTGTTATAACAAGATGCAACATGGTGACCATTTCTCCACTTGGTGTTATAACACCATTGGTGATGTGACATGTGAGATGACATCAAAATGGTGTTATGACTAGTTGTCCACACCTTATGCTCTTATATGTTATTAAAATAAAGTATATATAATAATAATACTTAATATTTGAAGCAAAAATTAGATAAAAAATCATATACATACATGTGATACTATCGACCTATTATTATTGGAATCGGCTAAAAATCTTTATCTAATTTATTAAGAGTCATAACATAAGCTAAAAAGATTTTTTTTATTATTAATGGTGTAATTTAAACAACTATTAGAACCACCACAAATAAATTAGCAGTCATAGACTACGATTTGAAATAACAGTTTTCGCGATAAATTAATTTGAATATTTTTGTAACATGTATTGTTTTGATTTTTTTTCTTGGACAACATCTTACCTAAACAGGGTGAATATGTCATTACTATCACTATTACATCGTGAGAGTTGTTCAAATTGCAGCTCCCGACCGCTATTTTATTTGTGGTTGTGCATTTGCAACCCAAACTCACCCTTTTCGACTTTACTAATTTATATTACATCATTAATACAAAAAAAATAAAAAATAAAAAAATAAAAAAATAAAAATCTTTTTAGCTTATGGTATGATACTAAATAAATCAAATAAATATAATTAACCGATTCTGATAATGATACGTACATATGATGTTGGTATGACACTAAATAAATCAAATAGAAGTATCTAATTTTTGCTTCAAATATTAAATATTATTATTATTATTATTATTATTATTATTATTATTTATATATATACTTTATGTTAATAACATATAATAAAATCAGAATTAAACTTAAATAAAAAATAAAAGTAAAAATAAAAATAAAACCAATTAAGATCACAAGATGAAATAATAGGTTTCTAAAGTAGACAAAATTACAAAAATGCTCCCTGCGGTTTGTCAATTTCTTTGGGTAAGGTCTAAAAAAAAGTTTATTAGTAAAAAAGTCCCTATTTTGTGGTTTTATTGTGATTTTGGTCTCTACCTCGTTAAGTTTAACAGCTTGACTGTTAAGTTTTTGAAAATGACGAATTTACCCCTACTGACCATTTCTGCAGTTTTATATTTTTACCAAACTATAAAGTTCATTTCTGCAATTTTTCTTTTTCATTTTATTGAATTATTGTACATTAATTCTTTTAATTAATTATTTTTTAATTTTATTCTGATTGGATTATTATATATTAATAAATATTATTTTTAATATATTATATTTATATACTAATAAATATTATTTTTAATATATTATATTTATATACTAATAAATATTATTTCATGATATTATTACTTTTTTTAATTATTTTTTTAATTTCTTCTTTATTTCTTCTTTTTCATTGGATTATTATATATTAATAAATATTAATTTTATTATATTATATTTATATCTTAATAAAAATTATTTTATTATATTATTAATTTTTTTAATTATTTTTTTTAATTTCTTCGTTATTGGATTAATTATTTTTTATTGGATTATTATATATTAATAAATATTTTTTTAACATATAATATTTTTCTATTAATAAATATTACTTTTATTGTGTTATTAATTTATTTTAATTTTTTTATTACGTTAATTCTTTTTATTGGATTATTATTTTTATATATAAT